GCCACCAACGGCCAATCCTTGGAAGTATATCTTTCTTGGACCATGTGGTACTCAAAGCTTGACAATCAGAAACTACTAAAAAGGGTCGACCAAATAAATAAACGCGGAACTTTCTTATGCTTAAAACTACGGCCATTGCTTCTAATTCATACGAGTGATATTTCTGCTCTGTTGTATTAGTTTGCTTACTAAAATAAGCTATGGGTTTTAAAGCACCTAGTGGTTGTTTCTGAAAAAGAATTCCGCCTATACCATGACTTGATGCATCTGTGTGAAGTTCTATATTATATTTAGGGTTGTAAATAGCAAGAACTGGTACAGAGGCTAAAGCTAACTTTATATCTTCGAAAGATTTCTGTTGGTCTTCTCCCCATTGCCATGGTTGGTCTTTTTTAAGCAATATAGATAGCGGTCGAATCCTAAGGGCAAAAGTCTTAACGAATTTTCTAAAATAACTTGCCAACCCAATGAAACGTCTTAACTCGTGAATATTAGTTGGTTCTTTAAAATTATTTAACGCTTCTACTTTATCAGGAGAGGGTCGAATTTCTCCCACTGAAATAACATGGCCTAAATATTCAATTTGTGTCTTTAGAAAACAACATTTGTTTTTACGCAATATGAGCCCAGATTTAGTTATAAGGTCAAGGATTTTTTTGAGATGTTCCATACCGTCGGGAATAGTCTTAGAAGATAGAAGAATGTCATCGATATAAGCCGTTGCAAATTCAAATTTAAATTGATCGAGTAATGCATTTAGATAATAGATAGATAGATAGATAAATGCTTTATTGAACCACTACTATCACTACATTATAAGTTGTTATAAAATACTTTGTTGGTGTATAGAAACATTAAAATTACAAAAGACATTACATTAATTGCACGTTGGAAAACGGCTGGAGCATTCGCTAAACCAAAGGGCATTCTTTTGTATTGATATTGTCCGAAAGGTGTAACGAATGCCGTGTACTTCTTGTTATCAGAGTGCATTTTTATTTGGTGGAATCCTGCAGCTAAATCTAACCTGGTAAACCATTTTTCACTACTTAATTTATCTAATTGATCCTGTATAATTGGGAGTGGATAACGATCTTTTACGGTTAACTTATTTAGTTGCCTATAATCAACGCACATCCTATATTCTCCCGATTTTTTTGGAATTAGTATTATTGGGCTCGCATAAGGTGAGTTACTGTGTTCAATGACATCATCTTTAATTAAATTTTCAATTATATCACGGACGATATCTTGTTCTTTTATGGACATACGATAGGGACGGTAATAAAAAGGCGTTTCACTCATAAGCTCTATTTTCATTTCAACTTCACATTGACCAATAGTCATCCCTGGACCGTCATCAAAGCCATGCTTATATTTTTGTAGCAATTTTTTTAAAATAATTAAATCGTCACCCTCTAAGTCAGTATCGACTTTATCATCATTTTTACTTATATGACCTCTAGCAATACAACGTGTTGAATAGAGTGTAAGAGGTTGACACTGTAAATTATAGATATCTAAAAATCCAAAACTACCACGAATTATTGTTGTTTGTTCTGGTATATCTACTTCTTTGCCTAAAGATCTATGTTCAGAGCGCTGTATTTGGACTATGTTTGTGTCTATGTTATCATCTGTGTAAATTACTATTTTATTTAAACCGTGTATTAATAAAGTATCATGTGGCACCCTGAGTTCTATTTTAGATAAAGGAATTTCTATATTGTTTGCAAATGGCAGCTCATCTTCATTAGTATTATTAGCTAAATTTCTCGAAAATGTTAAGGTATCAGATGTCTTAGAGAGACAAATACCAGGCAGTTCACTAAAGGCACGCCCCACAATCATATCTGTATCTTGAAGGCTATCACTAACTACGAGTACTGGAGTAGAGACAGAAACTCCATCAATGCAAAGCTGAATTGATGCTTCACCGTCCGGTGTTATAATCTGACCACCATACCCTCTAATGCTAGTACTACACTTATTATTATAAGAGAGTTTAATTTTTCTAGCTGCCGATAAGGTAATAGTGTTACAAGCACTTCCTAAATCAATGTAAGCTGATAAATTAATACCGTTAGCTACAACTGTTTTATGATATTTACGATCACCTAAATCTACCGGATGGATATTAAATATTTTTGATTTTTTTCCATACATTTGTTCGGATTTTAAATCTGTATTATTTTTAGTTTTCTGGGAATTTTTAAGACTATAACATTCATCACGATCATGACCTAATTTATTGCAAAATGAACATTTTTTTGAAAATCTACAGTTCTCTGTTTTATGACCAATTTTATTACAGATTTCGCAACGTAATTTATTACTACATTGAGTTGTAATGTGACCTCGCTTACCGCAAGTGAAACACTTAATTCGATTTTCAAAAGATTCACTACCTTTTGACGGTAAGTCATCTACTGCCGCATCGGTAAGATAATTTAACAATGCACGTGTATCCCTACAACCTGCACCACGAGCCCCAGCTTTGAGCAATGGATCACTTAAAGTGTAAATTATAACATCACAAATCACAGTATCGGTAAGCTCACATGATTTACCCTGCGCTAATTTTTTATAATAAAAATCTATTACCTTCTCATCCCGATGTTTGTTGGTTGTAACGAAGTCATGTAATTTGGCGGCGAGTCCTCGGCCAGCAGGAAAATAAGCAGCAAGACGGTTCTTCCATTCGTCCCAAGAGATGTCGATATTTTGTTGATGATTGAACCACAGCAGCGCGTTGCCTTCCAGGTTGCCAGTCATGTGGTACACCAAAGTTTTCTCGTCCCACCCGTAAATTTTCGCCAATGACTCCAGTCGGTGTAACCATGTGTGAATAGACAGAGTATTAGTATTGCCGCTAAATTTAGGCACGTTATCAGGTTTTCCGATGAACCGTAAAGTATTTGCATTATTGACTAACTTTTGTGATGTAGACTGATTTAAATCATGCTCTTTATCGCCAGAATCGTGGCTTACACAGGAATTTAAGCTTCGAGTGGTTATATCACTTGTTGGCAATATGGAGGGTAGAGGCATATTGATTTCGTTAAGAATCGGAGAGACTTGAGTAGCATTTATATCAAGTTCTACGGATGCTAAAGGATCTGTACAAGAAATGACGGTAGTATTATGATTAAGGGTACCTGGCGTTGTGGAATCTTCGATGGGACTTCCAGGCGTTGTATTTTGATTCACCGTTGATCCTTGCCTAATGAGTTGTTCCAGCAATTGCTCCAGTCGCCCTATGCGTTCACTATTATTTGGGCGCTTAGATTTTCTTGATTTTTTTGTGGGTGGCGGCGGCGCCTGCTCTTCGTCACTTGAAATGACAGGATGTCGTAGTCTTCGGTTACTCATTTTGGCACGTGAGGATAAAAACGAACACTTCTGAACTGTAAGGTTGTCCAGAAATGATAATGCCAACACAGTAGTCAATATTTTATTGAGCGTCTAGCTCGGATAACAGTCGTCACAAGAATGCCAATATCGCCATCTTTTCTCTTAATCGTAGACATTTTATCATCATAGACTAATTTGTCTATGCTTATCACAGACTACGTAGTCCATGTTTTATAATAGACTACGCAGTCTGTGCTCTATACTTCTCAAAGGCGCACATACACTGTAGAATATAAAGTTTGTCTATGAGCAGAAACTTAAGAGGTTTATTAAAAATAGTAACAACACTATATCGAATAAGACTTAATAATGGAGAGTATAATTTAAATATTGAAAGTTAATAAAAGTTATAGTCTGCAGTCTATTGAATTAAGAGACGCATTAGGTCACTAATTTTAATCATTTACACTACCAAATTACTAAAACCTGTGTTCCCTGTGGAATTTGTTTATGTTATGGATTTCGTATACGAAAAATATTCACAGAAAACATTCGTTTTAGTAATTTGGTAGTTAATATGAAACCCAAGTATAAAAGTAAGTATTTAAACTTCCCGCCATACTACTTGTTTCGGAGGGCCGACTATAGGTGGAGCTAGTTTCTATGGATAATATTTTTCTATGAAGTTGGCATTCTTCTCGTAGAGTATTATTGTTCTGTGGCTCGGACGGGACGGTCGTGTTTAGTGCAGTGTGTTGCTAAACCGTTTATTAACATAGAACTTACTATTTAACTATATTCTTTTGATTATTTAAGTTGTTAGGATTACTTTGCATTTTTTTTTAAATCACCCGCATTTCAGCTCCATAAGATCAGAAGTGGGATTCGACACGCGTTTTTGATCGTTCGCCATCAAAGTGTAACGTTAAGCTTAATAACTGTGAAAAACAACCATACGTAATTGTTAGTGCTATATAAAGCAAATTCCTACCCGCGCGCGTAATAATTTTGAATTTTGTCAAAAAGTGACTTTATAGTTCGCTGAGGTTGACCGAGCGTAGAAGAGACTGGATACCACGTGCTGCGCGCTGGAAGGTCTACATGCAAATACGGCCTCTGTCAGTTGACGATGTATATTATTAGGTGTGGTAAGCAAATATGGCCTCTACTAATGACATGCAAATACGACCTCTGTCAGTTGACGGTGTATTTTATGAGGTGTGGTAAGCAAATACGGCCTCTGCCAATGACATGCAAATACGGCCTCTGTCACTTTATCCAGCGTCACCGTCAGTATGGCATTATGGTGATATAATGTTCTTGGTTTCTATCCTGAACATTTTGTGAGTAGTGGTAGTCCGGAGCTACTGCTCATGAAATTCAACAAATTTTAACCATTTATGTGTATTTGTTTTTTTTTTCTTTTCCATTCTTTTTCGTTATATTAATTGTCGAGCTAGTTGCGTATTATTTAAAGTTAATGGGTAGTAACATTTTTTTTGTGGTTACATGAGTGCACGCGTGGGACTGCATTAAGCGTCGATAGATTTTAATTCAATTACTAAATTTTGCAAAGGAATGGAGAAATAATAAAATGATACAAATTCTAAACATTTTATGAGTAACCTTCACCGCTTATGTTTAAGATATCGAAAATGAAGATCAGCCTCGTGAGCAGTTTCCGGAGTTTCATATCGCCGGAACTCAGAATCCTGTAGCTCACAGTGGTAGCGACCAGCCCTTGCAAGGCCCCAGCAACGCCTTTCGCCTTTAGAAGACAGCAGCCCTAACGGAGCGTCTTCTGGGGGCCCATCAGCGGTCGAGGACGCCGCACCGTCAGGAGGGGCCGTCTTAGAAATGTAGCCTCATACGTCACAGTGACGTCAGCGTCGTCGTCGGTCGTATGATCTACAGTGGAAGGGGTGAGAGCGCCATTCGCGAGGCACTGCGGGCGCGCCTCGTCCTTCGTTTTCTGATATTCGGAGTGATGGTTATTTAAATAAAATACATTCGTTCAACTCATTACACCACATCATCCCCCTTACAATCTCGGGTTATGATAACAAACATTGTGTCAGTATTCTAAGTCACAGAATGAATGATCTTAACAAAAAAAAAATATATAGAGTTACAAAGTCTAAGCATTTAATCATATCAATCTTAACTTTAAATGTATTTGTTTGTATAATAAATTATTTTATATAAATATTTAACAATATTTAACATATATGTTGTTATATAGTTTTATGATATATATTTATTTTTATGTGAATATTGCTCGAGCAATCATAAACTTATGAAACTAGAAATTAAGATAGAGCGCTCTATTTTATCTTATTCTAAGTAAAAAGTTATTTAAACATTAACTGCTCAAAGCATGATTTCGTTATAAAAAGGAGAATGCCAAAATACGGCTTGACGCCGACAAGCAATTCATTATGATTGCAATTTATATTTTATTATTCTTTAAATTATCAACTATTAATAGATTTAAAAAAAGCACACCGTTACGAGTAATTTTTGTAAAGTTAATCAACGACTATAACATGAAAAGTACGCCATTTACAAAAAAAATTGCCAGTAAAAAGTTAAAATGCCTAATCTGTCGAAAATCGATAATCGTTATGAATTAATCAATAGTTGTGAAAGTGAATAAAAATATAATAAATACGTCATCTTATAATATTTTTCTCTTTGGTATTGCACAAAAATATTTGTCCTTATTATGTTACATAACTGTAATTAGTAAAGATATAATAATCATGGTATAACATATTATTGATTATTAATTAACAATCGATGTTAATCGATTGAAAACAATTTAACATCCAATAATGGCAACATTTTTTTTTAATTGTCATAGTCAATAGTAAACATTACTTTGTTGTTCAGTGCTTTCTGTTGTTTTTCGTTTTTATTCTATCTATTGACCCGGCTTTTAACTTTGGCCAGAATCTGTTTTACTTGATGACTCGTTTTTATCTTGGACTGAACCTGTTATTCTCGTCGACTCGGCTTTTTCTCACGGTTTTGGAATCATGCTGCGATGTATCAACTGTGACCTGAATGTTACTCGAATTAGAAGACACTCAACAGAGTATTTGTCTGTAAACATCCGAGATGAAATCCAACAACGAAATTCTCTGCCCGACCTAAGTATTTCGATGCATGTACGACTAAAATGCTGTGGGTATTTACATATCAACATAGATCACATAAAACTTTAATATTAACTCTTACATTTTACCTACAGATACCAAGCAACAGTGTGGTGTGTCATGAGTGTTGGTTATTACTAAACGAAGTGCCTATAATAAGTCGAATTGGTAATGAAAATGTATGTTAACAACAATAATGACAAAAAATCTCATGTAAGATCTGTTGGTGCAAAAAGGATTTTGCCACAACAAGTAAGTACAAACAACATTGATTTAATTATAATTAATAAGTTATAGTAATAATAATAAGTCAATTATTTGATGATTATAATTTACCATTATATTATGCTTATGCATTGTATGCAATGCAACACATACAAACAAACCGAGCATGTAATTAAGTATAGATAGTATTATAAAACTAATGGGATGGTGTCTGTACATTGAAAATATTTATATAAAATGAAACCCAAATGACAACCTCTGTGGAGGAGTGGTGTCTACACAGAAGTTAAGGTTGTGGCACCTCAAGAGGTTCTGGATTCAAACCATGGTAGGGACATGTATTTGTGTGATGAACACAAATATTTGTACCTGCATCGTGGTTGTATCATCCATATTTATATATTCTATGTGTTATTTAGTTGCCATAGTATGAGATTTCTTAGTTTGCACTAAATAATTGTTGTGAGTTGTCCCAAATATTATGTATTTGGAAACCCACTCAATGGGGTTTGATTGGGTTTTTACCTGGGTCGAAATTAAAATCTAAACCATGTCTTATCTAGAATAAATGCTATACACATTGAAAAAATGATTATGTAACAATATTTCTAATGATTTATTTCTTTTCAGCTCCGATCATCAGACAGAATTTGTCACTCTTGTTGGCAAAGGTGTAATAGTTTACCTGTAAATTATACTGCACCATCTACATCATCTGCAAGTTCTACACCAAGTGTTCCAGATAAATCTTCTCAAGAATTGCCAATTCACTCTAATCATATGATAACATTATATCAGTCACGACTTCCGGGGAAAGTACTCACAAGTGTACCTACAATAATTTTGGTGGGGTATAGAACTGTAGGTTGCTGTGTTTACATTAGGTATTTAGGATGGGCTAGATATCAGTTAAATATAGAACTGCCAACACAATTTTTAGATAATTTATTAATTAAATATGAGAGCAATGATACAACTGGTAATTAAAAATATAAATCTTTACATGTTTTTCATTTGCAGATACTTTTTTATGACTTAAAAGGTTTCGTCCTTTACCTAAAATCCATAAATGTATATAAATAGGTTGTTTAAATGAAAAACTAGGTAGATTATTGTTGAAAAAAACAAAAACTTTTATGAATATAACTTTTTTTGTGAGCTTTTATTAAAAATGTAATGTGCTTATAATTTTCTATATTTTTTGCCCTCTTTTATAATATAACACACATGTCTGTCGGTTCTGGCCGAAGTTTCTATGGAAACTTGGCATTGTCCTTTGTTTACACGTTTAAAACAAATATTATTTTACCTTATATAACTTTGTTCGATTTTTATGTATAATGTCTTGTATGTTACCTTTTTGTATTCTGACATTTGTACCTAGGTCCTCTATTACATTATATGGTCCTAAATAAATTGGTTGACTTTTGTCGTTTGTTTCATTTTTTATCAATACCAAATCATCCTTTTTGTAACTCTGTGGTCTTATTGTTTTGTCATATTTTTGTTTACGTAATTCTTTTTGTTTTATTAAGTTTTCTCTTGGGTGAATATGAGCTATTTTTAACCGGTATTTAAGTTCGCATAAATAATCGTCAACATTATAATTGGATCTATTGGATGATGTATTATTGATGATGGTAGATTACATAATTTACCGAAAACGAGTTCATAAGGTGTGTATTCTGTTTCAGTATGTACTGTAGTGTTAAATGCAAAGGACCATATGGCAGCCATTTTGCCTAGTCATATCTCGACTTCTCTGTTTGTATTCTAAGAAATGATCTTAAATTTTTATGTGTGTTTTCTAAAGAACCAATTGTTTCGTGGTGATATGCTGTCGAATGTAGTTTTTTTATGTTTAATAATTCACAAATTTCTTTCATCGTTGAACTTAAAAATTCTGTACCTCGATCCGAAACAATACAACTCGGATTCGGTATATTAATACATAATTGTTAACAAATGATTCTGCTACAGAAATTTTATCTTTTGATTTTAAGGGAAAAGCAAGTACATATTTAGACATTTCACACTGCATCGTTAGTACATATACATTATCATTTTCATCTTTTGGTAAAGGACCTAGTAAGTCTAAATAAATCTTTTATAAAGGTTTATATGATGCCGTTGTAATCTCTAAAGGCTGTTTTACGTTTTTCGAATGTTTCTTAACTTGACACTTTTTGCATGTCGTAACAAACTAAATTACGTCTAAATCTAAATTACACCATGTATATTTTCGTTTTATATTATTAATCATACGCCTAATACCTGCGTGTCCACTAGTTGGTAATAAATGATAATCATTAAGTATCTTTTGTCTTTCTTTTTCATCTGTAATTCTTTTTACTTTACTTAATATATTTATTCGTGGGCTCTTCCACGTACTTCTACTACTTATTTCCTTTTTTAATTCTGTTATCAACGTTAACTTATGTTCTTGTTTAATCATATTTATACTTTTTATATTTAATTTTTCACAAAATTCATGTAACTGATCAGCAAATTCCGCTCGAGTAAAATGCTGTCTGAAACTTAAATCTATAATTAATATATTCTTACAGAACAAATTAATACATTTTTTCGTTATTTATTTTATCGTATTTCGTATACTTCTTATTTATATTATTTCGAGTTTCGAATATTAAATCGACACTATCTATAGGTTTACGTAATAATTCTGATATTATCGGTATTTCTAAATCATCGCTTGGTTTTCGCAGTAATTTTGATGTTTCGGACGTCCTTCGATCAGAATTACTTTGAGAACTTCCGCTTTTCCTACGTTCTAATTTCCTTCTTTGTTTTCTTGTTAACACATTACAATTTGCCTCGCTCGATATTTTCTTTAATTCGTCTGAAGTTACTACTATTCTACTTAAACTGTCTGCTATTACGTTTGTCGATCCTTTTATATAAACAATATTGTAGTCAAATTCTTCTAAATGTAATCTAAATTTTAATAATCTGCTCTCTGGATCTTTTACTTTAAATAAACTTATTAGTGGTCTATGGTCTGTTTGGATTTCAAATCTTTTTCCTATTAAATAAGGTTTAAAATATTTTACATTCCATATTATGCTCAATAAGTCTTTATGAATTGTAGAATAATTTCGTTCTGCTTTGTTTAATGGGCGACTTGTGTAAGCTATTGGTTTCATATTTTTATTCATAAGAACGCTACCTATCGCGACTGTTTGAAGAATAAAATTATTATTAGGTTGAGTTAATTTTTGTTTTAATAATACGAAAGCATCTTGGCATTCTTTTGACCAATTAAAAGTTACACGTTTCCTGCATAATTGATTTAATGGTAATGTTATTGTTGCGAAATTTTTTATAAATTTACGATAGTAATTACTACTAATGTTTTATTAGGATCTGGTAA